AAAAGAGATTAAGGACCCTGAGCATTCAAACTACTCTTAACAATTAGCTTTGCATCTCACGGTTAATAAATCACAGGAGAATTTGGGGGCTGAAAAGTTCTTTTTGGTGATGATGGCAGCTAATAAAAAGAATTTATGTGATCTTCCACATGCACTAGGCAGCTGTTCACTTTGCTGGCTCCAATTAAGATATTTCCCTTTCTTATGTGATCTTCCACATGCACTAGGCAGCTGTTCACTTTGCTGGCTCCAATTAAGATATTTCCCTTTCTTATAGGTTAAAAACTGGATATGCATCTAAAACAAGATGTAAGTCACTGAAGATTTTTAGAAGACCAGGCAAACTGTTCATGCAACCAGGTAAATGTAGAATTTTAAACATAGGCATTTTGAAGATCATATACTTAAAAAATATTAAACCAAAGATAGTTTCATTTCTATTATGAAGGTATCAAAAAATTTAGAATGTGATTTTTATTGCTCCAAATACAAAATTAGACATGAAATACAGTTTATGTTTTCATTTAAAAGAATATGCTGCTCATGGGATTGAGATTCAAGGTATTTCTGATTCTAAATAAAGATATTTACAATATCAAGATCAGAATTTTTCAGGACCCAGAGCCACAAACATGACTTTTTCATGCCATAGCACTGCTTTTTATGAGATAGTGCCACTTTTGGATGAATGACATATTTTGTGTAGCATTTAGTAGTCTACAAAGGGCTATATCACTTACAGTAGCCCCCCCTTTTCCACAGGGGATGTGTTCCAAGACCCCCAGTGGATGCCTGATATATACTGTGTCTTTTCATATAAATACATACCTATGATAAAGTTTAATTTATAAATTAAGCACATTAAGAGATTAATAATCAAACAATTATAACAATATACTGTAGTAATAGTTAAGTGAATGTGGTCTCTCTCTCTCTCTTAAATTATCTTATTGTATTGTACCTCGGGTAACTGAAACCACAGAGAGTGAAAATGAATGAGGAGGGACTACTGTATACCATTTTGTTTGATATTCAACAAACCAGTGGAGGCAAGCCAAGCAGGTGATGTTACCAAAATTTTACTCATGCAACTCAAACAAATCCAGACTTTGGAAGGATCAGCATAAAGGATCCTTCTGCCACAAGTACAGAATACTGCAAAATGAAAAAGTCAAAGTCAAGACTGAATGATCATAAGAATTCCTCAGAATTGATAAAGTGGAAAGGATTAAGTAGAAGTTAAATAATTTCTTAGTTATTATTATAGTGGTTAAGGAAGTGGATAGGAAGTAGGAAAGTTAAGCCTTCTGAATCAATATCTCATCACTGTATGACACTGTCACCCAGCTTTGCTATAAATATCATACTATGTCCAAGAACTAAAGGAAAGGGTACCAGAGAAGGTAAGTCTGGTTCCCAAAAGAACAGACAGAGGAAACCCCACATAAGGGAAAAGTCCTTGTTGGTCCCCAACAGAAGAGATGAAAGAACTAAAGGAAAATGGAGAGACACTGAAGATATAACTGAC